CCTTTATTTTTATGTAAAGCACATTTAAAAGTGTCAACAAATTTCTCGGCTTGACCGTTCGACCTGGGATGACACACTGGTGTAGTTATGTGTTCAATGTCTAAGGCAGTACAGAAATCCTTAAACTCCATACTTGTGAACGCCATACCATTGTCGCTCACCAATGTCCTGGGAACCCCGAAACGACTGAAAATTTCATCCAATGCACTAATGGTGTTCCTGGATGTAGGATGCGTGCACTTGACTACCTCAGGCCATTTCGATAAAGAGTCAATAATATCAAATAATAGTACCCATTAATTGGTCCAGCATAGTCTATATGTAGACGTGCCCACGGCAAATCCGTTTTCGGCCAAGGATTCATTTTGACCAGAGGTGCCCTTGCAGCCAATTGACAACCTCTACATAGTCTTACAAAACCTTCAATATCCTTGTCCATTCCTGGCCAGTATATGTAACCACGCATGAGTGATTTCATCCGAGACATTCCAGGATGACCGGTATGAAATACTTTCAGCATATCTGTACGTAGAGATTGAGGTATAACAATTCTATCTGCGTACATCAATGTGTTGTCGCAAATTGAAAAAGGTGAAATCTGAGTTCCCTTTTTCTGTCTTTTGTTCCCTCTCGTCTGGTTCCTTAATTTCACAATATAGTGATCTTTTTCCGCTTCTTTTTTTATTTGGTCCAAAGTTACTGGCAATTCCCTGATTGTATTCAACAAGAGACCTGATATTTCTTTTTCCTCAGTTAATGTTGCTATAACCGTCTCTTCTAAAATTTTTTGGAATCAGCCTTGACAATCCATCCGCATGCCCATGTTCTTTAGATTTGACGTATTCCATCCTAAAATGGTAATTAAGCAGGGTTACACCCCATCGCCGTATGTGTAGGAATGCCTTTTTTACCTCCAAATATTGTAAGTAACGGTTTATGGTCCATTTGAAGTACAAATGATCTACCATGTAAAAAGCGATGGTATTTTTTAACCCCGAACACAATCGACAAAGCCTCATTCTCGATCTGACTATAATTTTTTTTCAGCGCGATCGGTTTAGTAGTGCCATCTTCATATTTGTGTAGCAGTGCAGCACCCACTCCGTACAAACTTGCGTCAGTTGCCAGAATGATCTCTTTCTCAGGATCATAATGTGCTAAGGCGAGATCTGAGAGTAGGCATTTTTTTATTTTCTGGAAAGCCGTCTCGCAATCTTTTGGCCAAAACTATTTCTTGTCTTTTTTTCAACAATTCGTTGAGGGGGGCTCTTAAATCATACATTTTAGGTATGTAGATTGCATAATATTGTGCCAACCCCAGAAACGATTGTAGTTTCAAGAACTGTGTCGGGGTGCAGGCATGTTCTTAATTGCATCGGCTCTCTGTGGGTCTGGTTTCCTGCCTTCACTGTCTATCACCTGTCTGAGGTATGTAATTCTTTCCATGAAGAATTTACACTTCTCGTGGCTTAATTTAAAACCAAAATCTTCTAGTCTTTTGAATATCGCTCTGATGTACGTTTTATGTTCTTGAACATTCTTACTTAGAATGTCATCTAAATAGGCGGTACCAAACTCAAGGCTTGCTAGCATAGTGTCCATCACCTGTTGAAACAAAGCTGGGACAACCTTTTTTAGCCAAAAGGAAGCCTATTTAGCTTATAAATACCTTTATGTGTATTTATGCACAAATATTTTGAGCATTCGTCACTTACTTTAATCTGCATGTATGCGTCAGACGGGTCGATTTTTGAAAAAATCTTCCCACCATTCAATTTTGAAAAAATATCTTCTGGTGAAGGTAGTGGATAACTGTGATTTTTAAGGCAATCATTTAAACCTGTTGAAAAATCTGCGCACACTCTTATTTTTCCGTTTTTCTTCTTAACATAAACTATGGGCGAGGCCCAATCTGAATGGTCAACCTTAGATATCACTCCCATTTTTTCAAGTCTTTCCAATTCCTTATTAATTGTGTCTAAGGAGGAAAAAGGAACGTTTCTCTTAGGTTTAAAAATTGGTTTCATATTTTCCTTGAGTTCAAATTTGACTTCCGTCTTAGTACATAACCCCAATCCCTCAGAAAAAACTCTGGGATATTCTTCTTTTAATTCATTCATGAATTTTTCATTTTTAATACTTTTTTGTTTTTCTGCACTGTTTATTATGTTGCAAAATGAGTTAATCGGGAGTTCAAACAAATCAAAAAGTACTATCCAGTCTATTCCAAAAAGACATGAATTAATCCCTTGGATTACATACACTTTCGTTTTTGCAGTCTTGCCACATAACGAAATATCGACTTTAATTCTCCCTTAAAGTTTAATTTCTTTCCTGAAACCCCTCTAGCGGTTTTTTTTTGGTTTCAGATAATTTAGGTCTTCCAATATTTTTCCATGTTTGTTCATCAATGATGCTTATGTCTGAAGCAGAATCCAATAGGAAAGTAATTGTATGATTATTTATCGTGACATCTACGTATTTTCTATTTTTACCTTTCTGAATTTCTTTTTCTGATAATACCAGGCTTACATCTTGTAATTTCCTTTTCTTGTGGCAAACCGAATATTTATGCCCTTTATTTCCGCACGATTGACAGAATTTGTTTTTGTACCAACACACGTCTTTGGTATGATTTTTATTTCCGTACGATTGACAGAATTTGTTTTTGTACCAACACACGTCTTTGGTATGATTTTTATTTCCGCATGATTGGCAGAATTTATTTTTGTACCAACACGTGTCTTTGGTATGGTTATTTTTTCCACATGTCTCACATTTTTCTATCTTTTTGGCTTTTGGAGTTTTTCGAGTTTTTATGTGTCGAACATTAGCAACACTTTTCTCCTCAATTTGTGTATTATCCCTTTTTACGTTTATGAGACGTTGGCATTCTTCGGTCACCCTTTGTAATGTTATTTTCGAGTCTTGCTGGACCATTATTAATATTCTCGACCTAATTTCTTTATATTTAGGATCAGTTAGTCCTTGAAGAAAAATTAGGCACTTGAATAAATCTTTGGTTATTTCTTCTAACTTGAATTGTTCAACCAGAGAGTTCACTGTTCCCGCGTATGTCACAAAATCCTCGCTATCTGCTTTAACGATGTTTAGGCATCTGTATCGCGTGTGGAACAGACTATTCCTTTCGTCAAATGTTTTTGACAGAATACTTATAGTTTCTTCAAACGAAACTTCTTCTGGCTTTCTGGGCAATATCAAGTTTGAGTACTTCCTATTCTCGTTTGTCCCTAGTTTCTGGACTAATAATGTTACTCGTTCCTCATCTGACCAAGGTTGACATCTCTTGTTAAATATAGTTTCGAAACGTTTAAAGTATGCTGGAAATGTAATGCCCGAATCAGGATCATAAATAAATTCGGATAATGAATTTGCTATTCCTTCGACAGAAAAAACAGTATTTTTTCTTTCTCCAGTCGCCTGTTTCAGAATTTTTTCGAGACTTTTTTGCTGTTGCAATATTTGTTGTTGTAAGTCTTGGTGCTGTTTTTGTTGCTGTTGTTGTAACTCTTGATGCTGTTGTTGTTGCTGTTGCAAGCTTGTACACAGCATTTTAGTCATTTCGACTAATTGCTCCATCCTGACTTTATGTAGAATTCGGCAAAAAAATTTTTTTTTTTTTTTTTTTTTTTTTTTTTTTTAGACGGTTAACAGACAATTTACAGCCGTAATATTTTTACAACCCGTAATTTTTACTTGAATAATCAATTATTAGACCGGCTCGCATTTGAGTCGCGGTTCAAATATATATTTTTCAAATCACAATTTAACAGTAAAAATTCTTACTTTTCAAAAAGTTTCCTTTTGACTTGTGACTCCGCTTTCGAAATCCTAATCGGCGTCAACAGATATCTTTGACTTGTGAATCCGCTTCCGAAATCTGTTCTGCGTAATCTGATATAGATATATATATATATATATATATTTATTTTATTTATTTATTTTTTTTTTTCAAGTAAGTACGTTGCACAATCCTTCGTCGCTAGCTGTTCAAGATATAATAAACAAAGTAAACCTGAGTGTGGTTTTCAATAATAATTTTATAATCGGATGTAGGTATGTCAAAATACAGAGACAGAGTCGGGAGTATGCTAACCTCAATAGGTGTTAGCAAACGAAGACCTTTTTCTTACTGTCCGTGGTGGTCGTACTTAATCGGCAACCAGTCCGTCCATTATCGTGAATGGGGAAGTTGGGTTATCTCATCACAACAAAAAATAAAGAGTAAAACTTGTTGTGTAGCTTATTATAAATGTGATATTATTTTTAATTAATGAAATGCTAAAATCTAACATTTAGCAATAATATAACTGGGGAACAATCTTAGTGAAAAATATAAGAGCATATAAAAAAAAAAAATAAAAGCTTATTACAAAGTAATTTAAGTAATTTATATGCTTAAATGTGAAACCAGCACAGATTTCTATCAAAATTTTGCTATTTTAATGAAACAATAATTTTAAACTTTAATTTTACAACTACTAAGTATTTAAATAATTATCACGATGAAAAAGAAATTATGTATTGTACAGAAAAATGATGCACTCTTTTACTCCAGTAGAAACCTAAAAGATATTCATCATCATTGGGTATTTTAGTTGGAATGTACCATAATGGATGGCCCTTAAGACCTACACAATTTATTTTGCTAAAAAGAAAATTACTTAAAAATATTTTGTGGGTCTTCTATCTCAAATTCATCTATCTGATAGATGTTTATCCATGTACTATAAACTAACAGTACTTAACCTAGCTTAATTTCATAATACTGTTTATATATTAAATGCAAATAATGGGTAGGATTTGTATTATATATCCTCAAATATTGTAGTTGATATTGTGTTTTCTATATGCAGATCTCATTAATACTCTACATACACTGCATAATGATGTCCTAATTTATCAGAAAAGAAAGAAATAAAACATGCAACTGTATAATAAATGATTGAAACAATAATTTTTTATCTTTTCTTTTTTAGTTGGCCTGTTATGACCAGATCAAATCCATTTTGTTGCATACTACATTTTTTGAAGATAATTTAATCACACATTTTTCTGCTAGTGTACTTGCAGTAAGTATTTTTTGTCTACTTTGTTACCATCATCTTTCTCAATTTTTATGAAAATAAAAAGTGGATTTTAAAATTGGTTGGCTATTAAAGTAATCTTGTCTAGCACTTGATGGTAAGTATTTCTGTTATTTGTCAAATTACTAACATACATTTTACTTAAGAGATTTTGCTCCAGGAAGGGCCTATTTATTAAAAATATTAAGGTTTATAGAAAATATTTTTGGGGAGTTGAAATTCAGTTGAATTATCAAAACACTATTTTCCTTTAAAGAGAAGCTAGCTTTTTTTTACTCTTTAAGAAGTTTGAGTATATAAGAAGAGACAAGACTTCTTTTCTAGGTAAGGAAGTTGACAGGTGAATTGATTACATATGAGCACCTGTTCTTACATTTCAAATGCAATACAACAAATAATCATGGCACTAGAAAAGGATATTCTTTCATATCTACTTTATTCTCCAGACCTGTCACCTTCAAATTGAAGGAGTCTATTGCATTATACATCACATAATGTAGATAAACTGATTTTATTTTTGAGAATTTAATCTACTATATCAATATAGTAATGGGTAATTGCACAAACAGTAACATCTATGTCAACATTACTATGAAAAGGAATTCACTGGAGGAAGTGTCCATTTTAAATACTTAGGAGCAATCATGTCTAAAAATAGTCCCTGCAACTTGGAAATCCACACAAGGATTGCTGTAGCCATAGCAGCAATGGCCATATTGGCAAGATTATGGAGGAGCAAAATCAGCTTTCAAACAAAATACAAACTGTACAAATTGATGGTAGTCTCCATTCTCCTATATGGCTGTGAAATGTAGACACTGTTGGCAGAAACAGGGAGAAGGATCCAAGTGTTTGAGGACAAATGCCTGAGAAAACTCCTTGGCATCTTCTATTTGGAACATAAAACCAATGAGGAAAAAAATGAGGGGGAAAAGTTTGAAAGTTTGGTGGGCTATGAAGAACCTCTTGCCACTGTCAAATGGTGAAAAATGGCATGGTTTGGACATGTTACAAGGCACTGTTGAAGGTGGACGTAGGAGAGGATGCCAACGCAAAAACTGGTTGTCTAATGTCAAACAATGGACAGCTATGACTATACCAGAATTGCTGATGGCTGCCGTTGATAGATTGTTGTCAAGTGTGGCTTCTGCATTTGGATCCCCCCTTCGCCGCCACGATTACAAATATCAAGGGGATGATGATGATGATCTATATAATTACATCAGCAAGTCTTACAACATACTTAACCAATACTTCTCCATTAATTACATAGACTGAAATTATACTGCAAAAATTTAAATTCAGAATTTGTTTTAAGTGTCAGGCTACAGATTTATTGATTCAAATTTAATTCTCTCTTTTTCATAAATGAAGAGGTGGGAAGTTTTGGACATGACCCACTGGATAAATGTATAAATGATCAAACATGGATGCCTTTTTGAAATGCTTTCTTGGTTAGGCCAGCCATAACCCTTTTAATTGAGCCTGTTTCTTACGCGGTTTTGAAAATAAGCGATTGAATGAAAAAAAAATTAAAGATTGAAAATTCTTAACACAGAACAAAACTACATCACGTTATGTAAGGGAGAAAACTCTGATGCCATTATTTTCTTGACTGTTCTCCCTTACATTAAGTGTTTCAGTTTCGTTTTCCTAAATTATTTTTGTAGCATTCACTAATTGTAGGTACCGCCATTTTTTCGCGGGAAAACAGCACAGCGTAATGAAAAAGGCCACAAACTTGATAAAAATAAAGTATTATCGTCAAAATGTTTGTTATTATTAAGATGAAAGACCAAAGTATTTTTTAACTATTTTTTTGATCCATTCTAAAACGTTCGAAATTTTAGTTAAATTTTTTTTTTGTTTAAGTCATCGCGGTAGCATAATAATGACGTTGACTTTTTGCACTGATTTGGAAATTCTTGAAAAATCAAATAATTGTCCGATTTTAATGAAATTTTCAGGATGTATTTACAAATGAATGAAATTTTTTTTTATTCGTTAAAAGTAGGACTCCTTGGAGAATCTAAATCACCTAATCATTTTTTTTTTCCCAAACTTGCACTATTCTAACTGAAAATCTGCTCTGAATTGAAAAGTAATGAATGCAATAAAACTGACATTATTTAATTACAAAAGCTTTTAATTGCTTTTTGTAAATAAGTTATATTAAGGACACTATTGTCTGAAGAAATAAAATTTTACTGATGAATAATGAATTTTTACAATTATTTTTTAATTTTTTAAAAAAATTTTAATTATAATAATTTATAATAGTTTAAAATGGTGTAAAATTCTGTATTGGGGTATTCCCTGGTTGTGATATAGTAATTAAGTGGAAATGAAATTTACGAATCCAAAATTGAAAAGATTAATAAATGTAGTTATGCTGTTCTATTTTTTTAAATAATTTTTTATTTCTTATTTTTTTACTTAATTTGTTCCCTATTTTCATCTATGAAAGTCTAAACATATTATTTTGAAATGGTCATGTGATCTAAGAGTTTCGTCTCTTTACAGAAAAATTAATTTAAGAAAATTTTATAGTAATTTTTTTATTTTTGCATAAAGCATCTTCAAAAGGTAAATAAAAGTCAATAAATTATTAGATAATTGAGGAAAATATGTTCATTTGTAAAAATTACTAGGTAGTTAAAAAATCAAAAAAGTGTTCACTTAGATTTCCTAAATTTTGTATCAATTTTAGCCAGCCATCTCGATTTTTGTTTACAAATTTCTTAAAATTAATAAAATGATAGCTTTTAAGAAAATTTTAAGAAATCAAAATTAAATTTGACATCTATACAATTTCTATCTGAAATACACCAGAATATTTTACTTACTGGAAATAATAAATTTAATCATTTAGCTTTCAATTAAAGCTAAAATGAAAAAAAATTTATTTTAAACTTTAGGTATTGAAAATTTATGCTGAAATAATGGAGGTACCTAGCTAATTGTACTGTGTTATTGTTACCTTTTTGTTTGAGGAATAGTTGTAAAAAACACTGGGTAGTAAAAATGCTAATGACAATGATGAAAAGCTTAAGAAGGATAGAGAAATGCTAAGTCTCCAACAAAAGTTGAATGTGTAGGATCATTTAAAAACCATATTTCAATGGCTGGAATAGCATGGCATCGTGTTGATAAGTTTGTTGTTTTTTTTTTTCTTTAAGCTGTATATAAAAAAACAAAGGAAAAATGAAATTCACAAAGGTTTTTTTGCCTGTAATGGTGTCTTGGGTGCATGATAAAAGTGCATATGGTGAGATAACATGGTGTGAAAATATGCCCCTATTGACAGAAGTATTCATATTAGAAAAAATTTCTTTTACAAAATATAAGAATTTATTTTTGTTGAGATGAATGAGAAAAGACAGTATATCACCTCTCTTATCCTGAATATTAAGGTGCAAACAAACCAGACTCAACCACTATGTGAAATTTAAAGTACAAACATTTGTTACAATATATATTTAAAGAAATATTACAATTTTTGAAAATGAAAAAAAAAAACTTTGAGAAGGTAATGCAAATTTTTGATTAGGCAGAAAATACATATAGTGCAACCACCTAATTGTAAGATAAAAAGAATGTCAAAGCACAAAATACCAATGTCACAAGGACTTTTTTTTTATAGTTTTTCTTTATAGAAAGATTCTATCAACAGGTTTCTGTAGCTTTATGAATTCTTTTCAGGAAGCAAACAAAAATTGATTTCCCTTCTGGATGAAATTTTGGTGTAAATTCATGTTGGTAAAAATTTAGATTTGAAACTTTTTGCAGTCAGTAGGCACTGTCCCTTTTGTGTGACTTATCACTCACTTCTGCTTTGATACCTCTTTCTGTCTTGATTATATTCTGCCTTTATCTGCTGGCCAGTCTGTTTATATAGGAAATGAAGAGGCTCGGGATAGACCATAGCTTCAAAATTTATAAGAGCATAAGCTTATGCTTTTGATTGGAAAGCAAATAGTACATATTTATTTTGATTAAAAAAAAATAGATCTGCAACAATCCACCTAGACAGAAATAATTTGGGCAGTTCTTTAACTGCTAATTTTAAAAATATAAATTTTCACAGACAAATTTAATAACCTTTTATAAACTGCCTGGCTTTCTTTAAAATACACTACTCTAAAATGTGAGTGAAATAGATAAACTTAGATGATTATAATATTTATTTGTTTATGCTTTTTGATTAATTTTATTTGATACTACTAATAACATTTTTTATATTTAATCTGAAAAAGTTTCTTTACCTATATCAACATTACAGTGATGGAGGTGATGAGAGTAAAAAACTTTAAAATAGCAGGAGGGGGAGGATGCTAATCATATTAATCCTAGTTGTTGATAGTGATGATCATAGTTGGACTTTGTTGATTTGAACTGGTTTCTCTGGATTTCTTAGGCCTTGCTTGATTTCTCTGACAACTTCTCTTGTCATGTCATGGTAGAAAGAAGACTGCAGAAAATATTTCTATATAAAAACAGATTTAATACAGAGTTCTAAACTAGCTTTGGAATTGTAAAATACAACCAAAATTTCCTGCTTCAATGTATTGTAAATTCTCACTTCTAAGGTACTTGTAAATCTTAATTCTTTCATTATTTTCAATTAATGAATCTTAATTTAAACCAAATTAATTCTACCACTAATTTTGCTTTATAAATCAGCAGAAGATATTTCTACAGGGACTGTTGGGTTATACTTGTCAGAATTGAAAAATATTGATTTGTTATCGATTTAGGAGGAGACCCTGTTTATAATATCAATATAGTGTCAAATTAATCCTTGCTTCTAGAGAGTTATTGGACTTAAAAGTTTTGTGTATGAAAACAAGCTTTTTTTAAGTTGGGATTATGAAGATTTATCTTAAATAATGAAGAAATGGATATATACATTTTTAATTAAAGAACAAAAATTTACATATATTAATAAAATCATGTATCTGTTTATTTTTAATTTCAGATAAATAATAATGAATTTTAAATGTTTGTGGATGTACCTTTTTGAAAAAAATCCCATACAAAACCATTAAAAAAAAACATTAAAAATGGTTAGAAAATTTAACAATATACAAATGCCAATAATGTTAGCACATTTTCAAACTTGACATTTAACAGTTAAGTGACTTAACCTAACTCTGTAAAAGTCAGGGATCGATTTTGACATTGTATCAATATTATAGACAGAACTAAATCAGTAACAAATCAATATTTTTATCCTGAAAAGTGTTGTGGCCAAAAGAAAGTCTAAAGAATGCTAATCTATAAAAATTATTTTCCCTTCAAATTTTGCCCTATTTTTTTAAAGTTGTTCTGGGATAGCTTTATAGTTTTATAAAAAGTGTCAAAACCTCATGATGTTGGGAGAATTAATGTCAGTTGATACAGAAACACCTGAATTGTCAAAAAATATAATGGAAGAGTAAGGCATGTTTTCAATAGTGGTGAAACAGGCCTTTTCAGGATGAAAGTGCTGAATTGAACTCCAGGATTTAAGCCTTGAAAGGATCATCTTAAATATCAAAAAGGTCAACAAAAGTAAATATAAGCTGCTTGTGTTGTGATCATTTTATTTCTTGATTGGTTCTACCCACAGTGAAGAAAGAGGCTGTTATTCAAAGTCCTTATCATCAGTACTTTTTGATCATCTATTACACAGACAATGTAAAGTTTGCTTTGTTTTACATTGATTAAATTTATCAATGTTCATTTATGTATTGAGCTAAATGTGTTTCAAGTTGTAGGTAATGTGCCTATTTTTTCTGTTGTCATTTACATTTTTTATTTTTGTCTATATTTCTGAGATGAGATATTATATTTATTGCTGTTATCCACTGAGGTAGATTGTTCTAGTTCCACATGCTATGCCTCTCTGTTATCTCCCTTTAACTCAACTCTCCAAGTTTTTGTTCACCACTTCTGTGGCCTGGTATTGAACTCACAACTCTTTGGGTCAAGTCACTGGATCTAACCAATGTTTTATCCACTGGGTCATGTGTCCTTGAGGACATCAGTGTATGAATTTTGGGGACTTATAAACTTAATGTCTCAGTATACATTTTTTACCAGGGCTCATATTGCAATTTTGTTGTTATTATTGCTTTTCTCTAGCTCTCTGTATTACTGTTTTCCATATTGTATTCATTTCTATGCTTGGCTGGCTTAGGAGAGTTTTACAACTGTCTCCTGTCAATAAAAGCAATGGGAAAACCAGCAGTTGGTGAGACTCAGTGTCTTGTGAAGCCGTTCCCTTGGGCATTTTATTCCTCAACTTACATGCCGTTTAATGTATTGTTGTTCTGAGACAGTGTTGTTTCATTTCCTCCTGTTCCTTTCCCTTTTTTTTGCTTGTTACACTGTAGTTTTTGGAAGAGTAATTGGTTAGTTGTTTCCCCAATAACCTTAACACACCCTTGCTGTATTTTACAATATAAAATCCATTTTTAAATATGAAAAATCTATTTGTTTGTTCAACGTTAACAGATTTTAATGACTTTGTTGATTTGTAGGGAGAGATTTATTTTTGGTTTTGTGTGGTAATTCTTTAGAAAAATTAACTGGTATGTTTATATATTATATCGTGTGTGTGTGTGTGTGTGTGTATATATATATATATATATATATATATATATATATATATATAAATAAAAAGAAAGAACAGTAAGATATGTAATCCGATGTTCTTATTGATATTTTTATTTTTTAAAAAATAGTGCTCAATGTAAATTTACAGAGCATTAATATTATAAATTAACTGATTTAAAATGTTTTTTTGCTACACAGTAATAACCATGTTTCAAAAATGGAAGCTAAAAACTTTAAATTTAATTTTGTAATTAAATTAAAAAACATTAGTTCCATTTCATCCTTAAGTGAATTTTGGAGTAACTTATTTTTTTTAAATATTTATATATATATATATATATATATATATATGTGTGTGTGTGTGTGTGTGTCTGAATGGTGGCTTTGGTTTGTACATAGACTAACATGGATTTCATTTGACATATTTTTTCATCTTTCTTTGATAAAAAATTTTTATGATTATTTTAAAGACAAAAATTGCAATGAAGTAATATTTTAAAATAGAAAGTAACACAAAATAATTAATCTAAAAAGAATCCAATTCTTTTTTTTATTATTCTTACTCTTACCATTAACTCAACTTGCTGACTGAGAGGATATTTTTGAAAATGATCAAATATTCTCTCCAAATATAACTGAAATACAAGTAAATGCTGAATCAATTCAGATCAATTTCTTTTATTGTTCAGTTTCTAACTGTACAAATGCATTTACTTATTTATCAAAGGTGGTTATAAGTGTATTTGTTTATATGTAAATAATTTAAAAAATTCTAAATCTTTAGTCAGCCTTAAAAAAGAAGAGTATATGGCAAATTAAAAAAACTCATATGCTGCCTTAAGAAATTTGAAAAGATCTGATAAATGTCAAAATTTAAAATTCTTCTAATGAACTCTAATTTATGGTACAAAGAATTTTAATGTTTTTTTTTTTAAATAAAATAAGTTTTGTCAAACTTGAGATGTTTTATGGAAAACAAATATATTTTAAAAGTAAACTTAAAAAAATGATATATGAACAAAAATATCTACTATGCAATATGATAAAGTGGAAAAAGTTTACTTTTGACATGTTTTGGCCTTCAGCGGATTAAATTTGTTATGTTGGTATGGCTACACATGTGCATGAACAATGGCTGCTGGGGATTTTAGAATTTTTTTCCAATGACAATAAAAATCTGCTGTCTCATCACCAATCAATGCTATTTGACATTTAATAATAATTTTTACAAAGAAAAATTTGGATTACCAATGGGATCACCTCTCAGTGGAATGTTGGCATGTATCTTCTTCAAATTTCTTGAATCTGGTCCTTTTCAAAATTTTACCCAAACAATCAACAGACTTCCATTATATTGATGATGCTCTACTTAAATATCTTCATCATATTGATTTGTCTGACCTCAACTAAACAAAGTTAAACACAAAATAGAATTTACATACGAAATGGAAGAACACAATTCCTTACCTTTTGTAGATATCAAGCTACACTGTGTTAATAGTTTAAAATTCAGTGTCCACTAGAAATTAAGCAACTAAAATGACTTAATAAATTTCTATTCTCATCATAACAACAAAATAAAATTTGGCATAATCATTGGATTAAGAGCACTTAGAATATGCAACCTACATTATTTACACAGAGGGGGAAATACATTGAAAACACTTTCAAATTTCTCTAGTACCCTAATTATTTTATATTCAATGTGAAGTGCCCATAAAATATTCCAAAACAAAAAAAATGACTCCCACTGACAAACCCAATGAATCAAAAATTATATTATCCTACCAATTAAATCTATCATATCCCTGATCGAAAAGAATTTATCTAAACTCAACATAAGATTTGTTACTACTACATCCAAAACAATAAAAGACTTAGTCAATACTGAACAAAACAATAAGCTAAAACCTGAAGGAGGAATTTACTCCATCACCTGTAATAATTGTCTAGGAGAAACCTCCGGGAATCTAATAAAAGATTATAGGTACACAAGAGGGACATTTTACAAAACAATATGTCAAATGCATTGGTTGCCCACTATAATGAGACTGACTACAATTTTGACAAAAAATGCTACTCTTATCAAGAGAAAACAATTCACTGTGATGTAAATGTATAGAGAGTGCTTTGATTGCAAGGTCATCTACAGTAAATTTGTGCCCTGGCGCTTACAACATTTCACCATTCCTGGTAGATCTTCTATTACCACTACTAACAAAAGTGGTCTGTTGGAATGAATCAAAAGACATGCCACATAGTTCACCTCAGCAAGTACACAGTGTAAAGAAAGATTTCCACTAGACAACATAGGTCTGGTGAGGGAGATGAATAACAGAAATAGCCAATTCACATATCTTTCACCAAGCTGTAATACCAGGAATTGTGATTACCAGCTAAAGTTTACATTAGGTATATGGTGATCAGAGTAGCTGATTCTATCATGTTTGTGTTATGTTCTGTGAAAATGGAGAAAGGACAATCACATTTATTACCTTTGGTATGGGGATGACATTAGCTGGCATGTTACATTTGGTGTAGGAGCCACTGGCCTTTGTTACAGCCACATCACAGCTACTGACCTTAAAATTATTCTATGTTGCAAGATTTTTGTCTTTTTCTCTTTAACTATTGTCTTTTATTTCATTTAGGGAACCATAGCTACATTCCTTACCATGCCACTGGATGTTATGAAAACACGTATGATGAATGCAGAACCAGGAAAATACAAGGTTAAACACCTGTTTCATAATTCTAATCTGATTATGTATTTTAATTTAGGCATTTTTAATATTTTGAAATTTTTACCTTTTATTACATTTTTGCAACACATTAGCCAAATTTAATTTTGCTATAATGACACTCTTTAAATTTCTTTATTTTAATGACCCTCATTAGATCCTTTTGTTTTAATGACCTTCTTTAAAGCCTTTTATTTTAACAACCTTAACACAGAATTGCACATAAATGTTATGTAGAATTAATGGAAGAACATTTTTTTATTTGGTATCTCAGGATGCAACAAAATTCTCTCTCCTATTTAAGTTCAAAACATTATATCTCAGAATTTGGTTAGAATATTTAATTTGAAGCACTGTGTTTGCTAGGCGGAAAATATTGTATGCTAATTAGTATTAACCTTGCAAAATCTGAGCTGTGTCCTATCTATTTGTCATGTAATATAAAGGATAAAATAATGAGTGGAAGTCTGTGTTGTATGAATCGTTAGAAGATTTAGGCAATGGAAATAGTATTCTGAAAACATTGCTACAATTTTATTCTTTATGATTAAATAAGTTATCTTATTCTTTTCATAGAACATCCTGTCTTGTGCTTTGGATATTAGCAAAAATGGACCTTTAGGATTTTTCAAGGTGTGTATTCTTATTTACTTCATTGAAACTTGTTTTTTTTTCCACTTATATAAAAAGTATTAATAACATTTATAATCTTGATTTCTAAGAGCTCTTCTGACCTTTCAAAATTAAAAAAAAATGTGTTTAAAAAGTAGTTTATGAAATGACCTAAAAATAAAACCTTGTGCATTCAGATCAAATTTTAAGGTTGTTACAGTTTAGTCCATTGAAAGTTTCAAATGTTAACATCAAATCTTCCTTGACCAACAAAAAACCTTTGTATAATTTCACATTTATAATTCTTATAACTGAGAGAATTTATTTCTGAAGTATGTTTACATTGATATTTCCTGAAAGTTTTTAACCTTAAATTCAAGCCTTCCAAAAATAAAGTGTCTCCAAGCACTTATAAATATAGCATTTTTTTCTGTTGACTCAGAAAAATGTATGATTTTTGGTTGTCTTAACTTCTGTTAAGGTTTACCTGGGCATATAAGTTAGTTTTGGGCCAGTGGTTTGACCATATGTTCATTCACTTATTTTTTTTTCTCCATTCAAAATTGGGGCATACCAGTAACAAGGACTTTTTCAAGATATATGGTGATAGAACAGACTGCAGCAAGAAGTGGATTCATAGAAGTGATGTTGAGAAGTTTGGGAGAGTTTGTTTATTTTGAAGAAATCACTGCTGGTTTACATATCAAACAGAAATAAAAATTATCTTCATTGGAGGAGGAGCACTCTTTGGTCTTGAACATTAAACCATTTATATATGATAATTGTTTATAATCCTAAATTTGTCTCTATAACTTCTTGTAAATCTTATTTTAAAGAGTAAAGGATGTTTTGAATTTATTCCTTTTTTTATTTGCAGGGCTTTATGCCAGCCTTTGTTCGTCTTGGACCTCATACAGTATGCACATTTATTTTCTATGAGCAAATCAGAAGGAATTTTGGAGATGATGTCTAACAGACCTCTTTCTCAGCTGGTAAACAAATTTAAAGATGATTTTGAGAACAATGCTGGGCATAAACTGGCTGGGGGCAATCATGTGTTTTGTTCATAAGTAGAAATTCGATAGCATTTCATGGTGTCAAATTCTAAACTGTTAGAATACTAGAGAAATTGTTGTTCATTTCTTGGCAGAATATTTCCTTCCAAATTTATTTTGAAATCAAATATCAAAATCAATCAGTATTATTGACCAAAATAATAGTGGATAACTTTCTTTAGTTGTTATATATATATATATATATATATATATATACACATGCATGCAATCACTTATAATACAAATTTGAATTGTTCTAGATTCAGTTTACATTTTAACCTTTTATTTTAAGCAGTTATGAAAAAGTATTTTATGGATCACTATGGATTTTTACAAAAATTTTCAGTGAATATTAAGTGAATAGATATTTGAATTGTGTTACCAATTAATGAAATTTTCAGAAAGGTTTTCTCTATTTGAAAATTTTCTCATCAGTTTCATAAAAAAATGTTCATTTTCAATGCAATGCTTTGAAAAGTGAGAATTATATATGCTTCATGCTTACATGCAATGAATTTCAAACTAGTGCACAAGGCTAACTTAAATGGAGAGAATTTTGATTGGTGCTTTACTTTTGGTATGTTACAGTATAGCAGCCGCACAACAAAAAGCTAACAAAGTAAATGTCTTTCTATTGCACTCTTTTTCTTTAATTAGACTTGAGTGTCTCTACAAGATGTATTATTTTACAATAAGAAAAAAAAACTTCTTTATAAAATATCTTAATTTGTATGTTTTCATTTGTTCTTGAATAGACACAAGATGTAAAATTTGTTTGATTTTTTTTTTCATATCTTGCAAAGTACAATGTTTATTTGTAATATAAAATTCTAATATGTTTTTAAAATTTAGGTATGAAAAGAAAATGTATTTCACTTAAGTGCTGACTTTAATGTATTGATTGTGTAATGAGAGTGATTGCATGAAACAAATGTTGAAGCAATAAGTTTTTATTCATTGGTGTAATTTTTATTTAATCTCACTAAGTAGCATCATAAAAATGATTTCTGTAGTTTTTAAATATATATTCAAACATTACTTCAGCATGTAATGTTTTATCACTTTTACCTAGCAGACTGATAAATAAATTTTTAAAAATCATGAATTTTTCAACAAAATATTTTTTTAAATCTGGAAAATTAGCAGATTTCTAATAATTTTTGAGTGTTGTGCAATCAAAGGATAAGAAAAAAACCCAACAAAGTATTCAATATTTTATTTACTGAAAATATATAAAACATCTAATCTTAGTTCTTAAAAATGTTGCAAGATAACTTTTAGGGATTTTCTGCATCATTTGTTTTCTTTTACAAAAAAAAGAAAGAAAAAAAGACAACTCTTTTTATGGAGAACCTAGAAGTAATTAATGTGGTTATTTTTTTCCCATTTCTATAAAGATCTATATCCATAATCATTGTTAAGAATGAACATCTACTAAAAATCATTTAATATTCTAATATAAAGTATTTCCATTATTCCGTTTTTATTTTTTAGCTAGTTTCTTCATTTTTATCAACATTTTAGCAGATCTTCTTTTTGGCAGTCACAAAATTACAGAAATTTTGAATAAAGAATTATTTTTTTGGATGAAACTCAGACTTCATCCACCAAAATCTGCTTCTTTTTTATATGACAACTTGTGGATCATGAAAGTAGTCATCTCAAATTTATTGGAATGCAAGATGGAGAAAAGTCAGAGCAAAAAAAAAAATCAAGAGACAGAAAAATTGAAAAACCTGACTTATGAAATTTAAGGAAAACAAATTTCTCCAGTTTTGTTTAAAACTACTTCTTTATTTTGAATTCCCACAATTTAGCAATCAAAGAATTTTTTTCTTTCATGAAATAGGAAATCTTGACTCTCTAAAACTTCCTTAATATGTATCAGTTATAAATTGAAATGTCTGTTCTTGGGTAAGATATTAGCATAATTTTAATGGATTTGAATTCAGAGCCATCCTTCTTGACTGCTTGCACTACCAAGACTAGCAAAATCCCTGTTTGCCCTGATACTTAACTCCTAGTTGGAGAGGACAAATTCAAACCTTTTAGGGGTATTAGTGCAAAATAAATGCAATAGCCTCAAATGGAATTTGAATTTGGTCTGCCAATTTAATTTTCTGTGCTGACAACCATTATGTTACTTTAGCTAAAAATGTTGAGATAAAAAGCAACAAAGATAAAGAAACTAGTAAAAGATATATGAAAAAAATAATAGCAATAAATATTTTTTAAACTTTAAATATTCATTTAAAATGAAAACAGTTATATACATTCAAATCTTTATGAAGATATTAATTTTATTTTTCCTTTGAATTATTTGGACTTTCTTAATTATCAGTATAATTGGAAAATATTAGCAATTTGGAAGTTAGTAAAATAAGTAGTGACAAGTGACAGAGGTTGTTAATTAGTTTTAGTCTTGAATATTTTTCTTTTGAATATCCAGACCAGTATGAACAAGTGTTCAGCATCTACTTTTGTTATAAGACATCAAAGTAATAAGCAGTTCTTTTCACTCTGTGTCTAATTAATATATTCATATAATTTCTGTTCAAAATAGTGTACAAACCAAGATTTACCAATTCATTTCAAATATTTATTTTTATTCAGGTGATGATACAATCTAAATGATTTCTCTCTCTCTCTCTCTCTCTCTCTCTCTATATATATATATATATATATATATATATATATATATATACACACACACACACACATACATTCTTATTATTATAAATGTTCAAACAGATTTTGATTTTGAGATTTATCCAGAAGCTTCTTTTTTTTTTTTTTTTGCAATTAACATAAAATTATGTTATGTAGTTCTAAATATTAAATTTTGGAAAATGGTTTTGTTAAATGATAAAAATATTTTTTTGTTTTTAAAATCTTGTTCAGAATCAATGGAATTGATTGAAAAGGCAAACTCACATTATTATTGCCAGGTTAGTAATTTTGATCCCAACCTGCTCAAAATTCTTAATAGCCCTTGGAATTTTAGACAAAAAAAAAATTGTGATTTGTTCAAATATCTATGAGCAGCCTGTGTGTGTGTGTGTGTGTGTGTATGTATGTATGTATGTATGTATGTATATATATATATATATATATATATATATATATATATATATATATATATATATATGTGTGTATATGATGGACTCTCTCTTCGATTTCGACATATGAGGATCTGGAAACCTCATTCAGTTTTTATGTTTTTGTTATATTCAGTCACTTCAGTCCTGCTAGTGACCTGCATACAACTTCACATATTATGCAACAGCAATGATCTTTGGACACAGCAACAGGAATATTTGCTGATGCTTTTCGACGTTGTCTTTCTCTTAGCCTGTTAGTATGACTTATCTAAAAAAATTCTGATACCACTCAAATATCTCCAGTTATTTCTATTCAGGGCAACTTGCTTGAAGTTAGTATGAGGCACACTGGAATTTGAATTTAAAATTTAACACCAGTGTCTATGTCACCAAATGTATATTTAAGCATTACTGAGAAGAATAGAGCAAAGAGAATGGGGGCCATGACAACCGTTCTTCATGCCATTTGTAACATCAAAGGAATCAAAGAATTCTCCAACAGATACAGCAGCAACTTCATCCCCTTGTGAAACAAGATTAAAGCATTTTGTCTGGGATTCCATGCATTTTAAGAACTTTCCAGAATGCTTCATGATTTACAGTGTCGAAAGTCTTAGTAAGGTCAACAAACAGCATATACAACTCCTGCTTCTTTTCACACACTTTTTGGGCTACCTGACAAAGTGTGAGGATCATGTCCATAGTACCACAACTGGAGCTGAAACCACACTGTGATTCCGGGTAAATCTCATTGATGATGTGCTTGATAATCATGTTCAGAATCAGTCTAGCTAATATTTTACCAGCAATTGACAGCAGAGATATATTCCATGTCAGAAACATTTCTATTAATTTTGTTCTTGGTGTTGGATTAAGTCAACATTGTACTCTTGAGGAACACAACTAGCACTCTATATTATTTTGAAGAGCTTGTATAGCTTTTTGACTAACTTTTTAGCACCATCCTTTCCAGGTGCTTTCTAGGACCATAGATCTTAAGACCATCAAAGAAGGACTTGAAGTCCTTCCTATCTGCTGTTTCCTGAAGTTCTGTAGCCTTTGCAGACCACCAGTCTGGCTTCATTTCCTGAGAGATCATGGGACCTCACTTTTGCACTTCAGGTACTGAGTCTTCTTTGCAGAAGAGTTTTTATTATTACTCCATGTTTTGCGTGTGCTGTGCATTTGCTCTATGAATAGCTGGACTTCAGCATTGCTTTCATCAAACCAGTCCTGTTGTTTCCGAACTGGCAATCTGAGCATTTCCAAAGAAGCAGTATTCACTATATCTCAAAGTGTTTTCCATGATGATTTGATATCATTAGTAATCTTGTGTGCATTGACAGTAGTATCCAGCTTGCTGCAAAGTTAACTTTGTTTTCTGGTGATTTTAAAACCAGGGTATTTATCCACTTAGACACAGATGTCTTCTGCAGTCTCCTGTGAGCAAGCCAAAAGGAAGTCTTACTGCAAAGGAGAGCCTGGTATGAAAGGGACGTGTGATATTGATGTCCCATATGTCTCTCTTCTTGGTGATGACATAGTCAATAAGGTACCAGGCTTTCAATCAAGGATGTATCCACAAGGTCTTGAGGCAGTTTGGTTACTCAAAGTAGGTGTTGGTTATTACAAGATTGAATTCTCTTCAAATAGAAATGAGGCACAGAACGTTGGAGTTCATGTGTCCAATGCCATGATGACGCTGCGCATTGATGTCCTCTATTAGAATAAGTTTATCCCTATATTGGATGTCAGTGAAGAGAGAGTCCACTCTATATATATATATATATATATATATATATATATATATATATATATATATATATATATATATATATATTTTATTTATTTATATATATATATATAATCGTTATATATATCATTCATACTAAATTTTTATTTAAATAGTTTTTGTTTGGGATTTTATTTGTTAAAAATGAGAAATATACCAAAATTATTATATCAATACAGAAAAGATTGAGGTGAAATACTTTTTAGATTATTTCAAATTTGTTTTGTATCCATGGAATTGTGTGTGTGTGTGTGTATATATATATATATATATATATATATATATGATGTCCCCTTTTATATCCATATATACTCTATTTCTGATATTGTACACGTTTGTCCATTATTATACCTGAAAAGTGTTTTTTTCATTGGTAATTTGATGATAAATTTTTTAAAATAAATTTTATTAATGTATTGGTGTGGAATTGAGAAAAGAGAAAAATTGTCCCATTTTTGGGGTTTAATTGTAGGTTAATGGAGGAACTCTGAAATTTTGTGAGAACAGCTTAAGCATATTTTGATGACTACTCAATTAAGTTTTTTGTTCTTTATCATGCAAATAAATATTTTTATATATTAATTTTTTGATATTTTGACTTTTTTTTTTTTTCATGGTATTGAAACTTCTTAACGAAATAGTGAATAGCATTTGAACTTTACATTATGTGTATGTCAAAGTTCCCACTAAGTTGATTTTTTTTTTTTTTTGTTTAACTGGTCATCTACTATGTGCATTCAGTCTCTCTGGTTTTAATTAATGACTGTGCAACTTTATAATTCTATCTCCTCAGAACATTTTATTTTTCTGAGCATGGAACAATTTTCAGTGGCTTTTGTGGTCTTTCACAGAATTGATTTTTTTTGTTTACCATTTATGCAATTCTGTAAAGTTTATAATAAATTGTGATCAACCTAAATGTTTTTCACCACATATTCTAATATCTGGTGAAAACTTCCCAGTGATACTATAAAAAATTTGCATCTTCATCACCAAAGAAACATATGGTCTAACATTACCACATGAAATATTAGTTTTTTCTCTTAAATAATTCTGGAGGATTTTTGTTGATTGTTGCCTTCATTTTATCTAATTGCAAATAGTAAGGGTTGATGAAATTGAAAAGTTGTCCTGGGAGAGACATTGAAATCACATGCTTGATTGTACATGGAGGAAGAGTAGTTATTAAGCCCTGCTGAAATGAGGATAAAATAACATAGGAATCAGCTCACATGTTAGGACCTGATAACCTGCTCAGTAGACTTAGCACAGAGATGAATACTACTGGGAGCCTCTGAGAATGATGATACAAATAGTAAAGCATATAATAATATTTTCTCATCTCAAAAATTCCAACCCAAATCAGTCTCTTTGTATTTACAAATCAAAGTGACTAACATAGCTAATGTAAATGATTTCAGTGCCTGATTGGAATATTATGCATATATTGACTATTCTCAAGTAATGTCTTCACTTGATTCCTATAAATTACAATTGGTTTACATCATTCAATGAGAAATTTCAATCATCCACTTCTCCACAAACTCTGATAACTTGTTTTGCAGTTTTACTTTTCTTTAAAAAAAACACGATATTCCAAAAGTGTTTCAGTGTTGACAATTATTTTAATACATGCTAAGATGATAATTTTCACAATATAATAAAAAAAAAAGTGTTCTTTAATTAACTTAAATGGCATTAGTATAATTTACTTTAACTAACAAACTTTGTGGAGGTACTAAACAAAAAGATATTTCTTAGATAAATAACAAAATGATAAAATAATGCCTTTATGCATATATAATGTTGGTATTTTAATAAAGAAATGTTTTCTCGGCATTTATGATTTTAAAATAACTTTTTGGATAATCATTATTATTTGTTGATAAAAATGTCACATGGTAGAGATAAGGTGGAGATGTTATAGCAAATCATGCACCATGCTTGTTATCTCTTTGCTTCAGACAATAGTACCAACCTTTTTTCAGCTGAACGAGCGATTATATTAAATAAATGAAATTTCTTTGGTGGTGAGGAAGAATATGCATGTCATGTAGGACCATTTAGATCCCATTGATCAGATATGGTTAAGAGGACTACTATCAGCAGCAGGACAAAAGATGAATTTGCTCAAACTATATCAGCACTTACAGTTAAAGTAGAACATGATTTAGTCCCTGAGCAACTGATGCTGTAAACTTAGGTTACAATACAACATGGTAGTAATGAAGTTTCAAACTTATACTGTTATCTGATGACTTGGAAAATTGTACTCATATAATTCAAAGATGTTCTAAAGTAGATGCTTTAAAAACAGAACTAAAAGATACATTAATAAGAATAATAATAATGATGTCACAGAATCTAACTGATGTTGCTGATATTATTGAAAATTATAATCTAAATCTTTTGGGTATTGACAAGTGTGAATAATTGTTCCTGAAAATTTTTCTTCAGATGACACTTGGAGTGACAAATTCTATAAGGACAAAATTAAAAAATACATATGAGATTAATAATACAGTTTCATGTACATTTTAAATAACACTACTCATATTAAACATGATCTAAATATTTTGGGTACTGCCTCACTTACAAAAAAAAAAAGCAAAAAAAAACTTGTTTGATGAGCAGAAGATAAAATATATTTCTCTTTCAAATAGTATGCGTCCCATATGGATTTACCAATGATTTTAATTTTGCAAAGATATTTTCATTCCTGAATTATTGGAAGAAAAACTTATTTTAATCATTTTTAATTTAACAAAATGTATTAATTCTATTTTAAAAATGTGACTATTTTGATTTAACTTCAACCAAAATTGATGGCATGATCATCTGACAGATCAATATATTTATAACTTCACAAATTTACTTTTGTTCAGGCTGTCAGTTTTTAGTCAGTTGTTTTTGTTATTAGATCAGAATCACATAAAACAGAAAAGGGTAAAAAAAATAATTTGTATATATTCTATGATAAAATATATTCTTATTCATTTTACAAAATTTCAAATAATTTCAAGTTTCATAAAAAACTTAATATAAATTTATATTAATAAAGCTTATTCTTAGCTTTTCCTTTTATTGTTATTCATTATTTCCTATTACTTTTTTAATTATTTTTTTGTTTATCCTAAGGGAATCAATT